GTACAGGATGTGGGAATGGCTTTTTTGTTGTTGTTGGAGAGGGGGGGGGGGGAGGAGGAGGAGGGAGGGAGGGAGGGAGGGAGGAGGGGGAGAGAGAGATTTTTTCATTCTTCAAATATTTACCTACCTATTCAGTGCATGATGAATAGCCACTCAACCCCTCAGTCCACTCTTATCTTTCATATCGCTCCCTCATCTAATTTATTTCTTCATCTTTTCACCAGTCTTTCTCTCGCTCTTTTCATTCGCTCTGTTCATCATCACCTCTCTCCGTCACCCTTCTCTGTGTATCAGTCACTCACTCGCCTGGACAGCTCACCATATTGCTTCATATCTTCTATTTCCCTCTCATTTTCTCCATCCCTCCCTCCCTCCCTCCATCTATCCATCCGTCTACCTCTTGAACACGCTCTCTCATTTTGATGACTGGGGCGATTGGGGTATTGTCATGTCCGTCCATCCTCTCTCCATCTCTCTTCCAGCCAACAGATCATATCTCATAGTCAGGAGCTTACTGAGAACGTCTTCACCCGGGATATCACTTTCTTTTGTCTTTCATCCCTCCCTCCCTCCATCTTCGTCTCGCGACCGGCTCAGCTCGACAAACGTGAGGGTGATATAATGGAGTCTCATATCCGCTTTCACATCACTCAATCCATCTCACCTATCTTTATTTGGTTAATACACTGGCACACATGCGGTTGTGTGTGAGTGTACACACACACATACACACATTCTCTTTCTTTTTCTCTTCCCATTTCCTTTCCTTTCTTCCTCTGTTTTCCCTATCTCTCTGTCACACACCATCCCTCCCTCTCACACAGCCGCATCACAAACAGAATACAGTTCTGGCTACGCTTCTTGGGGGCTCTTCCCTCAGCACACGTGGATACATCATGCCACTACCTTTCAACGTCTTTACCATCTTAATAAACCAGTCCATCCTATGACTCCCATCTCTCTCTGTTCTTCCCTCCCTGCCGTTGACCCAGCTGTCACTCCTTCATTCTATCACACGTCCGGGATGCCGTCCATCCATCCATCCATCCGTTTGCATTAGCCTGACGAGTAGAGACGGCGAGCGAGCGTGGCTCACCTACTCGGCCTGATTACACGCGAAAGCCTGAGTGGGCGGTCCGGCCCCGCGGTCTCAAAGCACTGACTCCTGGGTAATGGGCACCCATGCAGAGCCGCGCTTCTAGGCGAAGATCCATTAGAAGAATTCTTGTTTTAGGTACAGAAATGCTCATTCAATTTCTGTCTTACATCTTTCTCTCTATCTATCGGCCTTCCCTTCACCCCCCCCCCCCCCCCCCACAGATCTATATCTCATGACAGTCTGCACTGCTTCCTCCCCTAGGACACAGTTACTAATAGGAAAGTTTAACCATGCCTCTATCCACAATTCATGACCTGTTGTCCCCACGACTGGATGGCAGCACGGGTGAAAACCGTATATTTTAATGTCATTTCTACCCTTTCCATTGTACCCGCCTTGTACCCTCTTTATTATACCCTTCGGCCCATTTCCCGCTACGCTGGCGTCAGTGTTGTGATATATGCGGTGGCTTCTGGGGATGCCATCTGTACGGCCTGGCTGTCTGTCTCCCCCTGGGTCGCCAGTCTCGACACTCGCCTAGCAGAGCGAGCGTCTCGCAGTTTGTTGCGTGTCACCCATAAAGAGAAGGAGGGAGGACGACATTCAGGCCAGAGGGAAATTAAATGGAGCGACAAGATCTTTATCTCTCTGTTAATGCTATATTCAGTTAATGATATACAATATCCTACACAATGCTTTAATTCATTTCGAGGCCCTATCTATTCAGTCTAATTCAATATGATAGGAGTGTGATCGGGATCTGGTTAATGCTATATTCCATGTGCTGTCCATTGTTAGAATAGCCTTGTGGGGTACAATACTGTACACACAATGGCTTTAATTCAATTCATATGCACACCAGGTTCCTGCAACGCGAGTAAGATAAGAGATAAGAGTGTCATTGAACAGGCCTATCTATACCCGTGCTAGAGAGTCTGAATGTCTACTCACTGGCACTAATAGAAACCAGGAAAAAAGGGAGGACAGCCCATGTGCCGGTCGCGTCAAATCCATTGTATTGAAACACTGGAACATCCTCAAGTGATCCAAATCTACTAGAGTTCACAACATTGCCACCTTGCATTTGTTTCTGCCGCGCAATCAGGCCGCTTCCGTTATGCACAGCATGCAGCTACCCAGTAAGCATGACACTTGGCTCCCAGGCCCATCCAATGGCAATTACAAGTGTGGACAATGTGTTCATTGTGACAATACGACCGATACTAATGTTTTGTTTTTAACACGTGAGAACAGGTAAAGAATACAAAATCCAAAGCTTCATTAATTGTAGCACCACAAATACAATGTACAGTGCATTCGGAAAGTATTCAGACCCCTTGATATTTTCCAGATTTTGATACGTTACAGCCGTATTCTAAAATAAAACATTTTCCTCATCAATCTACATACAATACCCCATAATGACAAAGCAAAAACAGTTTGTAAATGTATAAAAATAAATAAAAATACCTTATTTACATAAGTATTCAGACCATTTGCTATGTTTCCATTGATCATCCTTGAGATGTTTCTACAACTTGATTGGAGTCCACCTGTGGTCAATTGAATTGATTGGACATGATTTGGAAAGACACACACCTGTCTATATAACGTCCCACAGTTGACCGTGCATGTCAGAGCAAAAACCAAGCCATGAGGTCGAAGGAATTGTCCGTGGAACACAGTGGCCTCCATCATTCTTAAATGGATGACGTTTGGAACCACCAAGAATCTTCCTAGAGCTGGCCGCCCGGCCAAACTGTGAAACCGGGGGAGAAGGGCCTTGGTCAGGGAGGTGACCAGAACCCGATGGTCACTTTGACAGAGCTCCAGAATTCCTCTGTGGAGATGTGAGAACCTTCCACAAGGACAACCATCTCTGCAGCACTCCACCAATCAGGCCTTTATGGTAGAGTGTCCAGACAGAAGCCACTCCTCAGTAAAAGGTACATTACAGCCCGCTTGGACTTTGCCAAAAGGCACCTAAAGGACTCTTAGACCATGAGAAACAAGATTCTCTGGTCTGTTGAAACCAAGATTGAACTCTTTGGCCTGAATGCCAAGCGTCACGTCTGGAGGAAACTTGGCATCATCCCTATGGTGAAGCATGGTGGTGGCAGCATCATGCTGTGGGGATGTTTTTCAGCGGCAGGGACTGGGAGACTAGTCAGGATCGAGGGAAAGATGAACGGAGCAAAGTACAGAGAGATCCTTGATGAAATTCTGATCCAGAGTGCTCAGGACCTCAGACTGTTTACCTTCCAACAGGACAACAGCCCTAAGCACACAGCCAAGACAACGGAGGAGTGGCTTCGGGACAAGTCTCTGAATGTCCTTGCCCGGACTTGATCCCGATCGAACATCTCTGGAGAGACCTGAAAATAGCTGTGCAGTGACACTCCCCAGCTGACCTGACAGAGCTTGAGAGGATCTGCAGAGAAGAATGTGAGAAACTCCCCAAATACAGGTGTGCCAAGCTTGTAGCGTCATACCCAAGAAGACTCGAGGCTGAAATCGCTGCCAAAGGTGCTTCAACAATGTACTGAGTAAAGGGTCTGAATACTTATGCAAATATAATATTTCAGTTTTAAATTTTTTATACATTTGCAAACATTTCTAAAAACCTGTTTTTGCTTTGTTATTATGGGGTATTTTGTGTAGATTGATGAGGGAAAAAAACAATTTAATCAATTTTAAAATAAGACTGTAACGTAGCAAAATGTGGAAAAAGTCAAGGGGTCTGAATACTTCCGACTGCATTGTACATGCTCAAACGCATCGGAGGGGCTGCTTATATTGGTCAACCAAACGAGCATTGAAACTTCACATCGCAGAACATAAGGCTGCTATTCGAAATAAAAACATGGACTATGCTATTGCACGCCACTGCATCGACGCCAACCATGGCTCACCTTCCTCCCTTTTCACATTTCACCAAGAGGAGGTGACGACATATGTAAACTAAAACAGAGGCATTCTGGCAATACTCCTTAGACACTGTGGATTCAAAGGGGCTAAACAATGATTTCTCACTGTCCTTGTTTCTATAATGTTGTTGCCCTGATTTATTTGGGTCTCTGTGCTTCACAGACCTATGTATATTTTGACATGGCCTATTGATTAACGAGACACACCATTTCTCTTATTATTTGGTGCTATAATTTGTCATTTAACTTGAAACATAATTTTTTTTACATTGTTGTGTCTCAATGAGCCACTAGGCTATAAATAGGAGCAAAGTGCAATGGTCAGGTAACTCTGAGGAAGTACTGTAGAAAAGAATAAAGATCAAGACTACTGTGAAGGATAATCCCCACGACACGTGTCAAACTCATTCCATGGAGGGCCTAGTGTCTGCGGGTTTTTGGTTTTCCCTTTCAATTAAGATCTAGACAACCAGGTGAAGGGAGTTTTTTACTAATTAGCGACCTTAATTCAAGTACAAGGGAGGAGTGAAAAGCCCGCAGACACTCGGCTCTCTGTGGAATGAGTTTGACACGTGCCCTAGGGCTACATACTAAAGAAAACAGGTCTTGTGTTGAAATGACAAATTAAACAGTCTTAACTATATCACCTGTTCATATTTATTCAGCGGACTGTAGTTACATTGTTTGGCAACACCTTAACATTTTAGTTGTTTTCTCGCATTGGGGGTCCGACTGACTGAATTCAGCATTGTCTGCAAGCCCATTTGAAGCAACACGTTACCCAATGGGCAGGTCAGTGGGTTACCAATGGCTTACCACACATTTTCAAAAGTCCCCACAAACTGCCATGTGGGTCTATGGGTCTCTGTATCCTATGTCTCCTGGGTTTAAAGTGTAGTCCCCATTGTTCTAAAGGAATTACACTATTGACCTTTATGTGGTTGTGTTTCGTAGTGCGCTTGTCTGTCCGGATCATGTCTTGGCCCAAGAAGATTCCCCTTCAGGTCATTGGCGCCGTGCGCTATGCACATAACGACATGGAGATATTTAGTGTAGTGCCCCATGGGATTCGCATCACTGTGTGTGTTTGTTGTGGGGGGGAGCAGTTTCGAAGCAGATCCTACTCTACTCTACTAATTCCTAGTGGTCTGTATATAGCTTGTGTGACCTTTTGGAACATCGCCATTTCTGTGTATTTAACAAGAGTCCTCTGTGCATTGGGGATGTACACAATACGCACTTGAACTTGCGTCGTATGCTCTGAGCGTCTTCATTTTGTTCAGCGCACAAAGGTGTTTCCATACGCAGTGTCTGAGCATGCTTTAGCGTGCGTAGGCTCTGCATGCCGATGATGATAATTTGCAGTGTGTGTGTGTTCAGTGTTTGTTGCCTGTTGTGCACATTGAAGCTCCGTGTGTGTTGGTTTGGACTCCCCATGTGTGTGTTCAGGCACTTTCGCCAAATTCAGTGTGCCGCATATGATTATAGGCCCAGAATCCATAAAGCCTGTTTCAGTGTTTTCTCTTTCTCTCTCTCTCTCTCTCTCTCCTTCCATCTTCCCTCTCCCCCCCTCTCTTTCTTTCTTTCTTTCTTTCTTTCTTTCTTTCTTTCTTTCTTTCTTTCTTTCTTTCTTTCTTTCTTTCTTTCTTTCTTTCTATTATGAATAATACAACAACCTGCTGCTTGCCATGAAATAGCAAAAAGCCCAAGTGTGCTAATGTCTTTTGGAGCCTGGATCAGTCAGTGTGTTGATGTGCGGTGCTGTGTACACTGGGAGGGTTGTGGACTCTGTTGTCTGTCTTTGTTCTGTCTTCGCGTACGTGTCTGTTGCTACCTGTACACTTAGCAACGTGTGCTTTCGTGTCTGCGTGCTGCTGTGCGAACAACCGCAGCACGCAATGTGAAAGGAAATCAACTTCATTTGTATGTTGTGTGTGACCCTGAGTGTGTGTGTGTGTGTGTTACTGACAATTGAACAACGAGAATTCAGGATGGACTAGTTTTCTTTTCATGCAGACTATGTGTGTGTGTACTGCAGTAAGCATTATGCTCTCTGTCTGTCTGTCTGCCTGCTGTGTGTGGAATAGGCAGTGCAGCCCCTTGCTGTGCATGGTATCTACTGTACATTCTGTATCCGTGCCTGAGTCCGTCGGTGTGTGTGTGCCCATGGTTCTGAATGCCTCTCACACACCTTGGTATTTTAAGCATATTCCATGTTAATATTCAGTGAGGGGGAGGTGGGGGTGAAACCAGTCCCCAAGTTCACCATGACAGTTCAGAACGACATGACAGAGGTCGAACACATGCACACGCACATGTACATACACATACTGTATATACACACACACACAGATCCACACATATTCCACACACACCAGATGGGAAAGAGATACATAAATCGGAGGAGAGAGAGAGAGAAGGAGGGAGATGTCCGAAGCACCCTGGCAGCTGAGAAGGACAGATGGAGAGAGAGAGAGTAAGATAGATGGAGAGGAGGGCTACAGAGAGCTTGGTGTGACCTGAGGGGCCATTGGGGGCCGGTGTGGGCTTCAGCTCACGTTTCCCCAGTTGGCGAGTTGTCACCGCACTCCTCCCTCCCAGCCTTCTCTCCCCCTCCCCCTCCCGACTCCAACACATTTCTCTCCCTCCTCCTGACTCCCCTACCTCCCCACCCCCCTCTGTGCTCCTGACTGAGTAGCCCTCCTCCCTCCTGTAGTCACTTTCTAGCTGTGGAAACGTGCTGCGTCTCTGGGGAGGCTTCCTACCCTCTGCGCAAGGGCTGTGGTGTGGAGTTGGAAAGGGAATGTGTGTGTTCCATCTCTGTTGAAGGGCTGTGGAGCTGCACTGTTGTGCCCTACCTGTTGAATACGGCTATTGGTCATTCAGGTTGTGTATGTATTCGCCTGTGGGTGTGTAAACTGTAGATATCGATTTGTCTTTGTGTATTCCATCTACCCTCTGCACTGTTGAGCAGCGGTGGCGACACGGTGTGTGTGTAGCCGTGTCTCTCTCTCGCTCACTGTGTTTGTGTTCCATCTCGCCTCCGTCAAAGGGTTTCTGGCGTCTGCTCCTCTCACCCCTCTCCTCCCGTCATTGGCTCCCCCTGAAAGGCTCCAGTCTCCTTCCCGGGCCTTAGCGTCAGCGCTAGCTTAGCTAGGCTGTCTGAGAACTGAGGCTACGTTAACATGGTCTTGAATATAAATCACTGTTTGTTTGATGTCGGATGCCTTAACATCGCATTCCTGAGAAGTCCAGTTCTCATATGACTGCTTGACACTACCTCACATTCCTCCAACAAGGCAATAAACTATTTTCTTTGGCACATTAGCCACAAGGTAGAAAATAAATGATGTTTTTATTATGTAGAGAGGACCATTGTATTCAAGATGGCCTCGGTTGTGTTTGTTGTAACAGTGTTAGAGCACATTGTATTACCCTTTAGCTGGGATGAGAGAGATAGTCAGAGGACACGTGCTGGATTCTTTGACTTGGCCCCAATTATGAGATGGCGCAGAAATTGCATGCAGAGATTATTCTATAAAGACTGTATTACTCAAGATACAGTACTTGTGCCAGCCTTTATTTCACAAACTGTAAAAGAGGGCTATGAAAAGCCTATGATATTTTATGTGGGTTAAAACCCATTCAAACATACCAGTTATGAACTATATATGCAACACACGCAATGCAAATGCCATCTGTTGTATTCGATTTAAGTGCCATGCATTTTCGGTAATGGCCCCACTTTTTAGCACTGTCAGAATGCTAGCTACAGTAATGTATGACACCCAACCAGCTGAACTAGTTGGTTCAAGGGTATTACACAGTATAGTAGGAAATGTGAGCTTTGATGCGCCTGTGAGTCTTTTGATGTTTGATATTCACTGGAAATATGCTGTTGATGGTACTGTATTGATTTTCTGTTGCAGTCTGGATGTTTGTGGCTGCAGGCCAGTGGCAGGCATTGCGTACTTGTTACCAAGGTGTTACCTGGCTGCTACTGTGAGCCCTGAGGCTGTGTATCTGAGTATATGTGCATTTGAGTTTACGTGTGTACGTGTGTGTGTGTGCTCGTGTCACCCCGCATTAGCACGCCGCGTGCCTCCTTTACCCACAGGTAACCGGGTTTGACATGCTTCAAAATCCTCTCTTTGGAATGCCAGGCTTGCGCTAACCTGCCAAGATGTCAGGGAGATAGTTTTGTGGCCCCCTTCTGCATAGTTGTACTTTTTTTTCAAAGACGAGACCCATTAAAATGCGTTGTGTGTTTGCAAAGACAGGAGAGGATTGTGATTTCTCGATTTTTAGCACACAGGGCTTGGCAGTTGAAGTGGGTTGTACCCTAAGGGTGTATTTCCAGTGACTTGTACCTACGCACACCTGCACACACAGGATGTCTTCCTTTTCCTCTTTGGAACCCCCCTGCTGTTTTAGCAACATATTTGTCTTTACAGTCTTGAACGCCCTATCTTCCTACCTTGGTGACACAGCAACCGTGTATAAAGCTACATTAATTAGGCGCAGTGACACTGGACAGCCCAGTTTATTATGCTAATGACCCTGTTGATGTGTGCGTGTGCGTGTGCGTGTGCGTGTGCGTGTGCGTGTGCGTGTGTGTGTGTGTGTGTGTGTGGCAGACCTGGGAAGAAAATAGTTGTATTTTGTAGTTTATTTGAAAATACCAAATATAGTTTCAAATAAAAGGCAACAATTTTCTTTGATATTCAAATACAGGTCTCAGAAAAACAAATAATATTTGAAGGTATTTGAATATATGCAAGTTATTTGAAAACAAAATAAATATTTATTTGATGGCTGACAAATATTTGATGAAGAACCAAAACTACAACAGTTTAATTAGTCTAAATATATTAACAATAGCACTTGATTTGGCGGGCTCCCAGATATGAATCTTAATATAGCTTCTAGCAGTGGTCACCAACCTTTTCCGAGTCAAGATCACTTTGAGTCCAAAAGCAAGCCGAGATCTATCACTCAGATAAAACAAATACAACTTAAAAAACATAAGCCTACTGTATGCAACATTAACCTATTAAAAACAGTTCTGTAGCAGTGAGGTTTGTGCAGTTTGCTATAGGCCCAATACATTATCACTGCATATTGGCTATGCTTGAATTGCCCTGCCAATGTTTATTATGTCTATTTTCAAAAATGTAGGTATATGATCACACTGGTAATTGATAATTTGTTGTATTACTTGTGAGGCACAGCTGAGTGAGCATAATAATTAGCTTTTTTATTTTACTGGACTGATGGCCTGCATCTAGTGGTCAGTCTGAAGGGAGGGAGAGAGCAGCGGTGAGGCTGCCTCTCACCCGTCCCTCCTCTCTCCCTCCCTTCCGCTGAGAAAAGAGGACACAATCTTCCAGCTGATGGCGAAACTCAAGTCGCACTGCATTATTTCTGCGTCATGCACCAATTCATGTTGTTACTGCTATAACCAGAGAAAGTGAAATATTCCTCAATATTAAAAAAGACACAAGCCTCTAATAATAACAATGCAAACTTATCGGAACACTTTGCTATGCTCATTAATTGCAGCTGCAGTGCTGGTTGTAGCGTGAGTGGAAGTAGGGAGAATGTGCATTTTATGGCTTATAAAAGTGTTGAACAAAGTGTTGACTGCTGAATAACAACTTAAACATGAACTTATGAAAACAGCAGCTCTTTGCTGTATTAATTGAGTCTCTCTAGTCATGGTTTTTGAAAAGTATTGAAATCTCAAAGTATCAACTTTGCTGTGCGCTCAAGGCTTATTTTTACAGCCTATGGCTTGAGGAAACTGTGCAGACACTGTGATCTGAGCTATCTGATTGGCCAGTGGTAGGCCTATAGGTGCACTTGATTTCCTCTCTGGGCCTGCCGGGTTCTACCTTCAGACACATGGAATGGTTAAAAGTGGGAACACTTAGCCTTCCTGGCACTAGGGCTGCTGAATCAAGTGCACCTACCGCCAACACCGAAAATAAAGGCTTTTTATTTTATTTTTATTTTTTCCCAGAAATGTTTGGTGATCGACTATGAAGGCCGCGATCGACCGGTTGGTGACCACTGGCCTATAGCCTAGCATTAAATACATGAGGGACATGGAATCACCTCAACATTAGAGTAAACCACTTTTGCAGCTTCAAAATGACTAACTAATATATTTTCATCATGAGTGGGACGTAAGATAATACAGTAACAGTTGACATTAAGCTCTTATGCGTAGGAACTTTGCGATTATTACAATAGCAACATTGAGTACATTTACATGCACACTAATAATTTGACATTAAACGGCAGTAGACAGATTATGCAATAGTCATGTAAACACTTTACTCTGTTTATATTAATCGGCGTAAGGTCAAAATCGAAGTAAGCATACACCGATTAAAACACATGGTTTTCTGAGCAATCAAATTATTAGGACATGTAAACAGCTTAATCGACGTTCCAGCTGTGTATTTGATCTGCACAGTGCTAGCACCAGCTGAGTGAGCCTCCCTCTTTAGCGCGAGTGAAGTGAGTTCGGAACTACTGAATGTATGCAAAGTAGTTTTCACATACAAACTTTATATGTCCAAACTCAGAATCAAATATGCTTCCCAAAAATAACATGGTTGCACGTTTATTTTGATTGGTGATGCATTTATCAGAGTGCCATTAGGTAGCCTGATTTCAGATGTGTCCATGTAAACAGAATTATTAGGGAAATCGTTCTTCTTGCAAAGCATGTAGACGTTTTAATCGAACTATTATATTAATCTGACTATCCACAATAATCGCATTATTGTGTACATGTAAGCGTACTCACTGTTACATAGGACTTTGGAAATTGCTTTAATTGCATAATAGTGGAATAAGGAACAGTCACTATTCCTCTTGTGTACAGAACTTACAAACACTCTCAGCTCATTGCTATGCAATTAAAATGCAATTACAAAAGTATTATGTAACAACATGCTAATAAAATGTTGCTCCAAAAGTAATTACTGTTTTATTAGAGGCACAAGAACAATTTAATGTTAAGTGTTACTGAGAATTCTAACAGTAACAAAATATGGTTATTAAGTATCGAAAGGAAACTAAATATCCAAAAACTGCCTTCTTGAATCAACTGCAGCCAAGGTAGATGGAAAATCATGTTAGTTTGTATTTTAAGTAACTATCCCTTTAAAGATGGTATCGTGTGTGTTTGAAACAAGAACACTTACCCTCAGATGGACAAAGATGTTTGAAGTTGTTTTGGCTAAGCATCCAACTTGCTGTTTGCAAATGGATTTGGAATTTCTCTGCAGTATTTTCAGGTATCATTAAATGAATTGCAGTTCTACATTTTCAGTGGTATACAGTAGTTGAGCATCACAACTTATTTACTTATCTGTACAAAATAGAATTGGTTAATTAGTTTGAGTGATTATGTACACCTGGGGCAATGGACATTCAGAAGAATGGATATTAACAGAATGTTCAGATAGAAATGTATTGTGTAGATCAAATATCACTGTCAGATAGATTGGAATACTATAGGAGATTGTGTTCTATTCATTCTATTTCTGTATTCAACATGCAGCCCTGCCATTAGTTGAAGGCAGAAAATCCAATCGTTTCTGGAAAGTTGTCACTTCCTGAGATCTGTATTCAAATAGTTTAAAAAAGTAGATAATTTCTTAGATTTAAATTCAAATCGTTTTTTTAAAAGTAGTCACTTTCTGAGATCTGTATTCAAGTAGTTTTACAAAAACTGTATTCAAATAGTTGTAGTCACCTCCAAAGTAGCTATTTGTCCCCCCCCCCCAAATTGTTTAAAAAAAACTTTCCAGTAATTACTTGAGTAAAACTAAAGATTCCTTAATAGAAAATGACTCAAGAAACTTGAGTAAAAGTCTAAAAGTATTTGGTTTTAAATATACTTAAGTATCAAAAGTTAATGTAACTGTAAAAATATACTTAAGTATCAAAAGTAAAAGTACAAGTATTTTTTTTTTCAAATTCCGTATATTAAGCAAACCAAATGACCCAATGTTATTGTTTTTTAATCTACAGATAGCCAGGGGCCCACTCCAACACTCAGACATAATTTACAAATGAAGCATTTGTGTTTAGTGAGTCCGCCAAATCAGAGGCAGTAGGGATGACCAGGGATGTTCTCTTGATAATCGAGTACTTTTGAGTGTCAGGGGAAATGAATGGAGTAAAAAGTACATAATTTTCTTTAGGAATGTAGTGATGTAAAAGTAGGAAAAAATATAAATAGTAAAGTAAAGTACAGATACCTCAAAAAACTACTAAAGTAGTACTTTCAAGTATTTTACTTAAGTACTTTACACCCCTGCTTTCCACAAAGCATAGTTAAAACTATAGTTGTCCCAGGTCTGGTGTGTGGCCTGCAAGTGCTTTGCGACAGATAAAATGTGCTTGAGTGCATAGCTGAGTGTGACCATGATTGCATGTGGCCTGAAAGTGTTTATTGACAGAGTCGTGCGTGTGTGTTTGCGGGATACTCCTGGTCATGTGTGGTAGCGAGAGCAGCCACTAAGTATCTGTCAGGGCCCACAGACGTCCATGCGTTCCTTCCACTAGTGTGACTATCTCCGACTCCGACTAGAGTTTTTCAAACGGCTTCCATTTTACCACGCCAGTAGTGTTTGTTTGTTTTTGTCGGGGGCTCGTCTTCCTTCACAACAGCCTAGTCACCACAGCAATTAGGCCGTATCATTAGTAACCATTAGCATCAAGCACTGCTCATAAACCAAGCGTCAACTCTCTGATTAATAAGAGCTGTGACCTTTGACTCCAAGACTGAATTCGTAATCCCTCTGATTAAGAAGAGTGTACTGCATACAGTAGTAGGTGTTTTAAATGGCACAATATCTCAAAGGTTCAACGCTCTCCGGAGAGGTTTCTGACGAAACGTTCTTTGAATGTTGTTTGGACATTTGTGTCTGAATGAATCAATTTAGTTGTCATCCCTCCGAACCGTGTGGCCAACAGCTGTTAGTCAGTCTGTAGATGTATTATAGAACACAGTCGTGTTGTTCCGAGCTAGTGATTAGAATCCTCGTCTTAATGCGGTTTGATCAGGGCTAATGAGCCGCTACTGTTTACTCTCTGAGGCACTCAGTGTTTTTACAGAGTCTTTCTACTTTGCTGCCTAGTTTGCAGCCCAACATAATGCCTGCTGCGGAACCCACTTAAAGACGTTAATGCGTCTAGCTTGTGTACCTGTATATTATGTGTGTGCGTTTGTGTGTGTGTGTTTTGATTAGTATGTCTATATAGAGAGGTTTGTGTGTTTTGTCTTGTTCGGCAGATATTTTATCTGTTTGTGTTTTGTTAGAAGGAGTAATGGTGTTGGGTGTATTTCTCTGGGGACGTGATTAACAGGGCTTTTCTTGAGCGTGTGTGTGTGTGTGTGTGTGTGTGTGTGTGTGTGTGCGTGCGTGCGTGCGTGCATGTTGTACCTTACCTGTTGTGTCGATACCCTGACATCTGCTCCCTGTCATTCATTAACACTACTCCTGAACATCAGTGTTCAGTTATAAAAAGCCTCCAGCAACCCTAAGTGAGATTATCTAAATAAAGACATAAGAGAAAATTGAGTTTCTGCTATTAGTTAAGGCCTTAGATATGGATTCTGATTCATTAGTATGCAGTCGTTGTCATAGGTGGATAATTACCACAAAGAGAAAAATGTAATCTGCAATTAAACCTATTTCAGAAGCACTTATTCCACACAAGAGAATAGGTGTGGCTTTCACCGAATGTATTGATGTCATAAAAGCGAAACGCTTTATCAAAACACTTGGATGGAATTAATTGGGTGAGTTCCTTCTATTCAGTAGTACCTTCCAAAACATAAGCCGTGGAATATATTTTCTGGTATTATATTGATACTGTAAACCGCCATACAGATTGCTGTATGCTTGCTGGTAATTAGCAATAAAATAGTAGTCGTCCTAATCCAGGCTTTGTCGCAGACAATGTGTTGTACCATTTAATATAAAAGGTATACAGTACCAATCAAAAGTTTTAGAACACCTACTCATTCAAGGGTTTTTCTTTATTTTTACTATTTTTTACATTGTAGAATAATAGTGAAGACATCAAAACGATGAAATAACACGTATGGAATCATGTAGTAACCAAAAAAGTGTTAAACAAATCAAAATATATTTTATATTTGAAATTCTTCAAATAGCCACCCTTTGCCTTGATGACAGCTTTGCACACACTTGGCATTCTCTCAACCAGCTTCACCTGGAATGCTTTTCCAACAGTTGAAGGAGTTCCCACATATGCTGAGCACTTGTTTTCCTTCACTCTGCTGTCCGACTCATCCCAAACATCTCAATTGGGTTGAGGTCGGGGGATTGTGGAGGCCAGGTCATCTGATGCAGCACTCCAACACTCTCCTTCTTGGTCAAATAGCCCACAGCCTGGAGGTGTGTTAAGTCATTGTCCTGTTGAAAAACAAATGATAGTCCAACTAAGCGCAATCCAGATGGGATGGCGTATCGCTGCAGAAAGTGTGCCTTGAATTCTAAATAAATCACAGACAGTCACCAGCAAAGCACCCCCACACAAATAACACCTCCTCCTCCATGCTTTACGGTGGTAACTACACATGCGGAGATCATCCGTTCACCCACACCGCGTCTCCAAAGACACGACGGTTGGAACCAAAAATCTCCAATTTGGACTCCAGACCAAAGGACACATTTCCACCGGTCTAATGTCCATTGCTCGTGTTTCTTGTCCCAAGCAGGTCTCTTCTTCTTATTGGTGACCTTTAGTAGTGGTTTCTTTGCAGCAATTCAACAATGAAGGCCTGATTCACACAGTCCCCTCTGAACAGTTGATGTTGAGATTTGTCTGTTACTTGAACTCTGTGAAGAAGTTATTTGGGCTTCAATTTCTGAGGCTGGTAACTCTAATAAACTTATCCTCTGCAGCAGAGGTAACTCTGGGTCTTCCATTCCTGTGGTGGTCCTTATGAGATCCAGTTTCATCATAGCGCTTGACGGTTTTTGCGACTGATCTTGAAGAAACGTTCAAAGTTCTTGAAATGTTCAGTATTGACTGACCTTCATGTCTTAAAGTAATGATGGACTGTCATTTCTCTTTGCTTATTTGAGCTGTTCTTGCCATAATATGGACTTGGTATTTTACCAAATAGGGCAATCTTCTGTATAACCCCCCCTACCTTGTCACAACACAACTGATTGGCTCAAATGCATTAAGAAGGAAATAAATTCCACAAATTAACTTTTAAGAAGGCACACCTGTTAATTGAAATGCATTCCAGGTGACTACCTCATGAAGCTGGTTGAGAGAATGCCAAGAGTGCGCAAAGCTGTCATCAAGGCAAAGGGTGGCTATTTGAAGAATCTCAAATATAAAATATATTTTGATTTGTTTAACACTGCTTTGGTTACTACATGATTCCATACGTGTTATTTCATAGTTTTGATGTCTTCACTATTATTCTACAATGTAAAAAATTGTACAAATAAAGAAAAACCCTTGAATGAGTAGGTGTGTCCAAACTTTTGACTGGTAGTGTATATTTTTTTGAATGCATTGGCATTTACAGTTATATATACATTCGGTACACGATATTCTATAATTCATTGATTACTCACTTCCTCTGTATTTAAAACAGTAATTGTTGTCATGGAAATGGCGTTGTTGTACAGGTACTGTACATTCCCTCAGAGCCATATATAGATATGTACAGATCATGACTGTTTCGCCTGTATATTCTATGACTTGTTCTTTTCCCAGCTGCATGATAACAGCTTCTCACTGCTATCATAACAACAGAGTTGATATTCACCCCTAGGTTCAACCCTTTAATTGAGTCCAATTATAGGAAATTACAGGTAGAAAAGACTGCAGTTCATTCCAACGTGAAATTCTGTGAGTTATTTTCAGTCGTTTTTGAGATGGTTTCGCAGAAGTCATGAATATATAATTGTCTTGATCTTTTCTCTCTGTCTTTTTTCTGTTTCTTTTGTTCTTCTCTTTTTTTCTTTCTCCTGTTCCTTCCACTTCTCTTTCTCTCTCTCTCTAGCGCTCCTCCTCTACCTCTCTCTGTCCATTAAACACACTCCAGCCGTGGCCTCCCAGGGCCTGCCCTTTAGTTCCGCCGTGGCTAGCCATCCCAGAGACCTTTACCGTCGTTAGCGTAGCAAAACCTTGTGGCTTGCTACACTATTAGTTGTTAGTGGCTAACAGACTGTCTCAGACCGATGCCCTAAGGGAGCTTATTTCTCTCTCTGTCGTCTATCGCATCTAATGTTAACGAGTATTATATGGGTGGTTGTCGTCTATGCTATCTCTAGTCGATACTTCGTATATCTAGCTTCTATCTCTCATCTAGTCTCTCTCTCTCTCTCTCTCTCTCTCTCTCTCTCTCTTTCTTCCTGGTCTCTCTCTCTCTCCCTGGTCTTTCTCTCTCTCTTTCTCTCTCTTTCATTCTCTTTCATTCCTACTCTCCCCTCCTAACCATAGTCCGGGAAACGCAAATTAGATGCTGAAAGACACAAATGGGGGTTAGTTGCGCTCCAGGCTTCTCCTTTGGAGTCAGCACATTCTGATCTGTCCATTCTCTGAAAAACTCCATTGTGGTTTGTTGGAGGAGTAGAAGGGAGGGAGGAGAGAGGGTGATAAGAGGACTTAAAACAAGAGGAGTTATACAGGAGCGGAACAGAGATGTGCGAGGTGATTGATGAGTGTGTAGGGTAGGGAGGGTGGGAGGGAGGGATGCTTGGGGGGAGGATGATGAAACGTCTGGTTCCCGACAGGCATACCAGGCAGGCTAAGACAAATCAGCTGTTAATCCTGCAGGGACTGTGTGTGAAGGGGTGTTGTGTGTGTGTGAAGGGGTGTTGTGTGTGTGTGTTCATTTGTGTGTTTATGTGTGTGTTCACAGTATGTGAGGGGAATTATAGTGAGGGGCGGTGTTTCTGTCAGAGGTTACAAAGTTTAATGCTAGCATCTCCAGCTGCAACAAATCACTCACAGATAAACAAGCTGTAATTTTGTTTTGCGGGAAGAAAGCGGCGGCCATTTTTATTACTGTTATTACACTGGGGTGTCTAAACACGACATAGAATCCATGGCATGCAGTCAAAACAATTATTTAACCCAGAGACTGACTCTAAAAGGATAAAGTGAACGGAAAAAAGGCCTGACACTCACTGTCAGTGTATCAGGGTTTAAGGTTATTAAACCGTTTTAGCCCGGCATATGTTTCCTGTATTATTATAACTGGCAATGTTTATATCAGAAACTGTTATGGCATGTAGCAGCAGGGATAGGAGGAGGAGACTTGGTGGAAGTGTGTGTTTCTGCTATCCTTGTGCGTGGGTCTGTCTGTCTGTCTGAATGTATGTGTTTCTGCCATCCTTGTGTTTCTGTGTCCCTTTTGTGTCTGGTTGTGTGGGAGGGGAAAGTCACTCGGGGGGGACAGATGACCGATGGGGACCCAAGGACAGTGGGGAGTGTGTGGGGGCCCGCAGTGGCTGGATGAGAGTGTGTGGGCTGTGATTCGCTGTGGCACTGGATGGCAGGAAACATACTGCTGCCCGTGGAGGAGGGAGGGAGGGAGTAGAGGAGATCAGTGTCACAGTGAGGGGCACACACACATAGTGTACACACACACACACACAGAGAGAAGGACAGACAGAAGGATATAGCGACACAATCTGACAAACAAACATGCAGTGTCACTGACTGACCTCCGCTTAATCTCCAGACAGTTAAAATGCACAGGGGCCAACAGGGGAGGGATCGCAGTAGATTAGCTTTGGCTCTGCTTGATGCTACTAGGCACCAGCAGCAGTGGCTACTAAGACATGCTACTATAAATGCCTGTTGGTCTGGAGACACCCAGCTCAGTGGAGCTTAAACCTTCTGCTTCATGCTCTTCTGAGCTCCACACACACACACTGCTCTGTTGACCCGACAAGAGCCTCCGTGGCCCCGCAAACACCCGGCCTCATTATGTATGCAGAAGGTTACCAGGTAAAAGGCGCCACGGCGGCAACGCCCCGAAGCCCTGGTCCACTTGACCCAGATTAGTGGCAGTCGCTGGGTAAGTGATCAGTTTTAAGGCAAAGATCAGGGGATGTGGGCCACACTGGAGCCGAAATGAAGCCTCAGCCTCTGTCTGACTGTATGTGTTTCTGCTATCCTTGTGTTTCTGTGTCCCTTTGTGTCTGGTTGTGTGCGAGCGGAAGGTCAATCGGGGGGGACAGCGGGAGCGGGGGGGGGGCGTGGTGGGACCCTTGGGTAAGAGGCCTGTCTGCCCAGGGCCAGAGGGCCCGCAGTGGCTGGATGAGAGTGTGTGGGCTGTGATTCGCTGTGGCACTGGATGCCAGGAAACATACTGCTGCCTGTGGAGGAGGGAGGGAGGGAGTAGAGGAGATCAGTGTCACAGTGAGGGGCACACACACATAGTGTACACACACACACACACAGAGAGAGAAGGACAGACAGAAGGATATAGTGACACAATCTGACAAACAAACATGCAGTGTCACTGACTGACCTCCGCTTAATCTCCAGACAGTTAAAATGCACAGGGGCCAACAGGGGAGGGATCGCAGTAGATTAGCTTTGGCTCTGCTTGATGCTACTAGGCACCAGCAGCAGTGGCTACTAAGACATGCTACTATAAATGCCTGTTGGTCTGGAGACGCCCACTGAGCTGGGTATCTCCTCCGTGGCCCCGCAAACACCCAGGCCTCATTACGTATGCGGAAGGTTACCAGGTAAAAGGCGGCAGCCGCGGCCCCGAAGCCCTGGTCCAATTGACCCAGGTAAGTGGCAGTCGCTGGTTATGTGATCTGTTTTAAGGCAAAGATTAGGGGATGTGGGCCATGCTGGAGCCGAAATGAAGCCTCAGCCTCTGAAGTGGCTAGTTTGACCTAGTTTGATCCCTGGGAATGGAATGGTTGGAGGCGTTTGCAATGACGATAAACTCATTTCAGTTTCATTTTCATGAGAAACACTATTTTCTGGTCCAGTCATGCTATTTGAGGAGGCGAACTAGGAGAGTGTTTTTCATCCACTAAGTGGAGGGAAACCGAAATGCATGGGGAGAGTTGACCGGCACGGAAAAAAGAGGGGATCCTGGCAATTGATAGGGTTTAAAAGTGTAGCTATTATGACTAAGAGATCGCTCATACATAAAACGCTGAAACACTCACAGGTACACATGCAGGGAAGGGCGGGTGTGTTTATGAGTGTTACCACGAGGCGTCATGATCCAATGACTTTTGGATCAATTGTCATCGCTGGCTGTGCTGAAGGTCTCTGTGTGTGTGTGTGTTGTATTGCTAACTGGTGAGCAATGAGGTAAGATAAGATGTAGGCTCACAGGACGCTAAAGAGTCCAGCAGAGCAACACTCCTGCGAGACTGTTCTCCAATCACAGATGGCCCCGCAAAGTGTGTGTGTGTAAGAAGGTGTGAGGGCTTGGCTCTGTGGAGCAGGCGGGAAGCCGAGAACACACTAGGTCACTAAGGTTGCCGGGGAGAGAGAACGAGGGAGCGAGGGATGAAGAAAGGAAGGGGTAAAGAAAACAGTTGGAGGGGGAGGTTGATGTCAGGGGTAATCCTTATTTTGCCCTCTAAGCACAAGGCAGTAAGGAGCCGAATAATGTTTCCCCGTGTCGACAGATTGGACTTCATATTACCGTGAAGCTTTTAAAGTCTTCCTCCCTCCCTCTCGCTCTCCATTCTTTATCCCTTCTTTCACTCATTCGGTCCCCCTCTAGCTCCAGCACTTACTGTACAAGACCTACTTTGAAAAAGGAGAGGAAGAAATCGTTTTCTTGTGGTTAGTTATTGAACTATAAGGTAGTTATGTAGTATTTGAAAGTATACATTTTTCAAAAAGAAAGTATTTCTTCCAACTGTTATTTTTCTCTTCAGTCAGCTAGGAGGCAAGATGGTCCTAAAAGGCCAGTATGTGCACTGTGTCTGACCAAGTGTGTGACTAAAAAAGAACATTTTGGAGCTTGCCAGTGAAGGGAAAGTGAGCAATGGAGTGCGAGAGAGAGAGAGAGAGAGAGATGGAGAGAGATGTCCCAGTTGGGAGTTTTGCGGAGGAGTGTAGCAGCAGAATGCCAATGGCGATGAGAGCCAGGCCGACTGTGAGTGGTTGTTTCGCTAGTTGTTCCTCCCTGTCACTTAAACCGTATCCCAGAGAGACGGGGGACCTTTAAAGTCTGCCACTCTTGGCCCCACTTCAGGGCCTTCTCACCCCTGTCACGCTCCTCCGCCCTCCCTCCTAGCGCCCTCCCTCCTAGCGCCCTCCCTCCTAGCGCCCTCCTTCCCTCCCATCTCTCTATCCCTCCATCCTCCCACATCTATGTACATACAGTGCTTTCGGCAAGTATTCAGACCCCTTGACTTTTTCCACATTTTGTTACGGTACAGCCTTATTCAAAAATTGATTAAATTGTGTTTTTCCCTCATCAATCTACACACAATACCCCATAATGACAAAGCAAACATTTTTTGAAAATGTATTAAAAATAAGAAACTGAAATATCACATTTACATAAGTATTCAGACCCTTTACTCAGTACTTTGTTGAAGCATCTTTGGCAGCGATTACAGCCTCGAGTCTTCTTGGGTATGACGCTACTTGGGTATGACGTATTTGGGGAGTTTCTCCCATTCTTCTCTGCAGATCCTCTCAAGCTCTGTCAGGTTGGATGGGGAGCGTCGCTGCACAGCTATTTTCAGGTCTTTCCAGAGATGTTCGATCGGGTTCAAGTCCGGGCTCTGGCAGGGCCACTCAAGGACATTCAGAGACTTGTCCCGAAGACACTCCTGTGTTGTCTTGGCTGTGTGCTTAGGGTCATTGCCCTTTCGGAAGGTGAACCTTTGCCCCAGTCTGAGGTCCTTAGCGCTCTGGAGCAGGTTTTCGTTAAGGATCTCGCTGTACTTTGCTCCGTTCATCTTTCCCTCGATCCTGACTAGTCTCCCAGTCCCTGCCGCTGAAAATCATCACCACGGCATGATGCTGCCACCACCATGCTTCACTGTAGGGATGGTGCCAGGTTTCCTCCAGACGTGACGCTTGGCATTCAGGCCAAAGAGTTCAATCTTGGTTTCTTCAGACCAGAGAATCTTGTATCTCATGGTCTGAGAGTCCTTTAGGTGCCTTTTGGCAAACTCCAAGCAGGCTGTCATGTGCCTTTTACTGAGGAGTGGCTTCTGTCTGGACACTACCATAAAGACCTGATTGGTGGAGTGCTGCAGAGATGGTTGTCCTTCTGGAAGGTTCTCCCATCTCCACAGAGGAATTCTGGAGCTCTGTCAGAGTGACCATCGGGTTCTTGGTCACCTCCCTGACCAAGGCCCTTCTCCCCCGGTTTCACAGTTTGGCCGGGCGGCCAGCTCTAGGAAGATTCTTGGTGATTCCAAACTTCATCCATTTAAGAATGATGGAGGCCACTGTGTTCTTGGGGACCTTCAATGCTGCAGAATTTTTTTTGTACCCTTCCCCAGATCTGTGCTTCAACACAATCCTGTCTCCGAGCTCTACGGACAATTCCTTCGACCTCATGGCTTGGTTTTTGCTCTGACATGCACTGTCAACTGTGGGACCTTATATAGACAGGTGTGTGCTTTTCCTAATCATGTCCAATCAATTGAATTTACCACAGGTGGACTCCAATCAAGTTATAGAAACATCTCAAGGATGATCAATGGAAATAGGATACACTTGAGTTCAATTTCGAGTCTCATAGCAAAGGGTCTGAATACTTATGTAAATAAGGTATTTCTGTTTTTAATTTTTAATACATTTGCAAACATGTCTAAAAACCTGTTTTTTCGCTTTGTTATTATGGGGTATTGTGTGAAGATTGCTGAGATTTTTTTTTTTTTAATCAATTTTAGAATAAGGCTGTAACGTAACAAAATGTGGAAAAAGGGAAGGGGTCTGAGTTTTGACTGTGTGACCAGGGTTCGGGATAGTCTCATTCTTTCAATCTGGGCTGACAGGATGGTATTACACACTGAATGGTATTGGTAAGTGACTCAACTGGGAGAGATATGTGGTAGAATATGTTAAGATGACTATGTAGGTGCGTGTGTGTGTGTGTGTGTGTGTGGGGGGGGGGGGTCGTTGTGTGTGTGTGTGTGTGGGGGGGGGGGTCTTTGTTTGTGTGTGTGTTTGAGCGTACTAAGGGGTTTGTCTATTCACATCACATCTGTTATGTGAGCTAATCAGTCTCCAATGAGATACACTCCCTCTCCATTCCACCATGCCCCATTCTTGTATCCACCCTGACAAATTCTGTTCCCATTCCTTTCTCCCCCCCCCCCCTCTTCTTACCCCCCCCCATCTTTACCCTCTTTTCCCAGCCAATCCAATCCTCTGTTTCTCTACCTCCTTCCCTCAGCCCACCCCCCTTCAAACAGGGTTATATTCATTAGGCACCAAACGTAAGAAAATGGACTGAAACAGGGATGGGACTATCTGGACCTGACCAATAACAACATCTTGGTTTAGTTTTCCGTCAATAATTGTTATAAGGCATTCTAATGTAGTTTGCCCAAATGAATACAAGCTAGTTAATTTCCTACATGTTAGACTGCTTGTTTTTGATGCAGTAACTAACATGACTCATTATTTATTGAAAATACAGTTTATTATTATCGGAGAACATTAATGGTAAACGCTGCTAATGTAAACTTTGATATCCAGCACATCAGATAAGCGGCTAGGGTACCCACAGAGGGATGTCAATAGGCTGGAGGGTGGGAGTGGGGCTTCTGTCTGTATAGATGTCTGTGTCTGTGTGTTTCTGTGTGTGCACATGTCTGTGCATGGGTGTGCCTGTGTGTGTCCGCGTATCCAGCTGTGAGAATGAGAGAGAGCAATTTAGGACCGAGACAGCCCTGGCCACCGCCCCATATCTCCCTCCCTCCCTCCTCCATTTCATGTTTTCGTGATAAGAAATGATCGACGCTGACGGGTCTCTTTTCGGCTGTGACTGCCGTTGTATGTATGAGTGTGTGTCTCTGGACGTGTCCCCAGCGTAGATTCATCAGACTCCCCTACACATACACACCTATCAGATGCGCGGGTCCTAGTGGAATCGCCCATAGTCGGAATCTCTGATATGGATGCAAGCCGGAGTGAGAATCCACAAAGTCATTTATGCTCTCACTCACTCACTCTCAGCAGTGAGGTGTTAGCTTGGCAACGGCACACCACCATGTGGCCGCAAAGAGAAAGTAGACCACTATTATCCTCAATGGGATATTAGAGTCCCCCCAGTGGCCATCTGTGGAAACTGCACGCTGGTTAAAACCAACATAATGAGAGGCTTTTACATTTAATTTAGACGCCTCACTCAGCCTCAGTGCCCTCTAGTAATCACATACATAGACATAATTGAGCAAGGAGGCCGAGGTCAACTCAGAACATTGGCGGATGATAAGATGTCTGGCAAGCATTAAATGCCTAACAGAGCTCATTTCCTGGGATGTATTCAATGATGAGAAACGTTCTGAATGTTGCAGATAGAAATAGAAAGAACAATAATATATTCTGTATGCGATACATTTCTATCTGAATGTTCTGGAACATCCTCCTGAACAGGCCCTGTTCTTCAGTTAAGCTGTTTTCATTTAAAACTTCTGATTGGATTCTGATTCTAACAGCTCATATTCCCCCAGCCCTTATCCCTGTCACAAGGAGTAATGACACATACATTTGAATTGGACTAAATCTTAAATTCTCTGCGTCTTCTTCTCTTTCAGAGCAGCGTAAAATAACAGCAGGGCCGTCGACGGCTGGCATCCTCGGAGGCATCATTGGTGTGGTCCTTTTGCTGTTGATTGTGGGCTCTGTAATCGTGCTGGTCCGCAAACGCAAGCAGAACGCCGAGAACGGAGAGTGAGTGTTCCGCTCTCAGCAAATGTTCCTTTAGTACACTCTTACTGATTTCTCAAAGTCATGTTTTTTCAATAGGTGTGGACAAAGTGAGTTGCACTAACCTCTCCTCCTGCCCTCTTTTCTCTCGTCCAATCAGTGGTCCTCCCAAGCACAAGCCCCCTCCCCCTGTGAAGACCGGCAGCTCCACAGAGATGGTGAGTGGTCCACGTCCCTGTCACTCAGGGCTCATTATTACTGAAGGTCATAAACCACATGGAGTGCAGTTCGTAATGGGGCTAATGGCTATTGATCGGAGGAGAGTGGCCCAGTTATCTGACTTTGACCTCTCCACGACCCCACAGCTGAACAAGCATGTCATGGACCCAGTGACGAAGAAGTTGACGGAGATCCAGCCTTTAAGTAAGGTCTACTACGAGACCAGTGGAGAGCCTGTCACGGTAAGAGGACATCCTCCAAACTCCATACTCTGGGTCGTGATCATTAGGTCACACCAGAAAACGAAATTGTACTTAAGTCCAGGTAGTTACTCCATGTTTCAGTCTGTTGTCTGCAATTGGGTGCCTAATGAACACAACCCGGACTCTCTCCATTTTCACATAGTGCTGTTTACAGTCGTTGATTTACTACCTGTACTGTATATCGAAATGTCTGCTGTTTACCCTTCGTGAGGGACATCTGGCTGCTTTCTAGACTCTGGATTCAGTCTCTACTTTATTGTCAGATTACACACCCTTTTTGTACTATATTATAACATTCTGCCTCCGTGGTCCCTCAACAGCTTGACTATTTTGAAAACTAAAACGTTCATTGAACCTATTGAACAATGCATGGTCAAGGAGTGGATTTTGTCTACCATACCACAGCTGATGTCATTTTCTTGAGAGTTGTTGCTGGTTCAACTTTTGATATTACAGGATCTGGATGCCTACGATGATAACACCATTGGTGGTGGGGCTGCTAATGGTGGCGGCCCTGCTGTCCTGGAGGACTCAATACAGTATGCCGATATCGACGAAACGCTAAATGACGAAGCCCTGCCACCGTACTCCGGCGCGGATGGTCACCACGTCGATGAGCCGCCGTCGGCCACTGTGGCCCGCGGAGAAAGCTTTGTGTCGGCAGCCATGTATGTTTAGCAGGTGATGTTTAAGCCTCCATAACGACACAACAACAACACCGTGCCTGTACTTGGCTACATTGAACAGCACAGAGACCCAGGAAGGCTCTGGACCGATCGGCACAACTCCAGCCTCCCGATGTGGTCAAATCCTAAATGCAGTGTTTACTACTCTTGTGATTTGGGAAAGGTAATATCACCCAAAATATCACCGGAAACATAATTCAAAATATCACCAGAAAATTCACTCGAAACTGGTTGTTTGAATGTTGCAATGTTGTACTTAAGTAATAAGGCCAGAGAGGGTGCGGTATATGGCCAATATACCACGGCTAAGGGCTGTGCTTATGGATACAGCCCACAGCCGTGGTATATTGGCCATACACTACAAACCCCAGAGGTGCCTTAATGCTATTATAAACTGGTTACCAATGTAATTAGGAGAGTAAAAATAAATGTTTTGTCATACCCGTGGTATACGGTCTGATATACGACAGCTTTCAGCCAATCAGCATTCAGGGCTCGAACCACCCAGTTTATAATGTTCAGTAAGCATCCTCAGACCAAAATGCAATTTTATGGCAGTATGAACAGAATTAGGTTGTCACTGCTTTATAACATTGCAACATGACAAAGTTTAAGACTCTGACTCATGTTTTGGGTTCAATCTAAATTGCAAGAGCTGGCAATACTGCATTATTAGGGTAACGAACTGTGACATCTTAGTTTACAACAAAACACACAATGCAAACACAATGATCAATGTGCGTGCAATTCCCCCCCCCCCCCCCCCCCCCCCCCCACAGGAAAGATTACTGCTAACATTTAAGTCAAATTAAGTTCAAATTATAAGGATTGTATTTTCAGTGTCAAAATACACGGCATGTATTGGAAAATATTGCCATTAGTACCAATTTATGTAGATGAAGTGGCTAATATGTGCTCTAGTATATGCTGTATATTTTACACAAGGCAAAATATTTATTGAAATATTTTATATTTTAGTCTTATTCTAAAGCCTTTTATGTACTGAAAAACAAATGTGCAAAACATCATTGATGAACAATTATGTGAGACCATATCAAGTTGGTCAAAGATGTCAAAGTGAACCAAATTATCAATGAACACTGTAAATAATATTGATGATTAATATATTGTCGGTGAAATGTGTGCACATAAAAAAAAACAATGTGTAGGTGTTTTCAGGGCCTCTATGTATAGGGGTGTCAGTTTCCATGTGAAATTGAAAAAAAGTATACATTTTACTTTAACGGGTATTGAGGACGTCAGTCACAATGCTTATGTTTTAAATATAAAAATGCTGTGTGGATTTTAGTCCTTATAACTCTGCATGGAATGATCGGTGGCTTGTTTCAATTAGTTGGCTCACTTTTCCCAAGGCTACTTACAGACACCAGGCTTTATACTTTTTGAATGTTGTCGATGTCTTAGCGTTCCTCCATTGTATCGTCTACTTCAAACACATCGCTATAGAGCAGCGTGGTGGTGTAGGCCTAACAGAAGGCGCACAGCACAACTTGAGATATCTTTTTGCTGATACATAAAAGTCAGTCAGCATATGACTATGTTCTTTCCACAGGGTGCTTACTGCAGGGTGAAATAAACAAAGAGTTGAATGTAACTCTAGCTGAGTAATGGGAAGAAATCATTGGTTCTGGCTGTTCCAAAGAGCTTGAGTCGCGAGGCCATTGATCTGTCAGTGTCACCTCAACAGACGCAGAGAGAAGCAAGGCTATACTCGCTAAGTACATTAGCTTGTTGAATCAAATAATAAGTAAATAAAAAGACATACATGAACAAAAAGCACATGTAGATATGTAAGTAAATAGATAGATACTATAAACACTAGTGATTGCTAGACAGATATAGAAAAATAGATGTACTATATAGACTGATAGGTAGACGGACTGGCAGACAGACTGGTAGAGAGAAAGTACGGACACAGAGAAATAGAACACAGTAATAACTGCCTACCCCACCGTTCTTTATTCCATCACAGTCAGTGCGTCACTGCACTACTATTGTTTTTTGATGTGACAATCACTTTGAAAACAACTTTCATTCGCTTTTGGTGGAACTTTGCTCTCTATGGTGTTTCTTTTAAAGGGAACGTCTGCATGCTGCATGGAACTATGGGTAGCTCAACTTCTTCTCTGTGCAAAAAGATTAATGCTGCCATTTTGAAAACGTATGGCTGTGGGCGGTGGGCTCGCATAAAGTGGTGCCGTATCAGACAATCACATCTGTATTTTATAGCCTTTACACAGGTTAGATTTCAAAGGGAAATTCATTGTGCATTTTTTAATTTGGTTTTATAAACTGTGATTCCATCTTTTTTATTTAATTTTATTTTATGTATTGCTTCATATTGTTGTCAGAAATATATTGTACTGTTTTGTGTATTGCCTATAAAAAGAATCTCAAAATTGAAGATGTGTTGATATATTGAGTTAGAAAAAGACAATCATTGGGACCCCTGGGTTTGTTATTACCAATGAGTCAGCAGTCTGTTTTGTTTAGTTCTGTTGTTTTATACTCAAGGAATCTGCTAACTACTTCTTGCTGCAGCATGAGTTGCTGTGTGTGTTTGCCAAGCGCTTTGCCTCCGCCCCAATAGGTTTGATGCCAAAAATACAAACTGTGAATGTTAGCGATAACGCTAATCTGAATCTGGTCATCTTCCTTCCCCGGTTGTTTACTCATCTCACATTCATTGTCGCATTTTTTCAATCCCAAGCCAGACGTGCCTTCGTTAATTTATTTTTAGCTTGTTAATTTACACATTTGTTTCTGTCTTAGAAAATAAATACGATATTTTAAAAAAAACATGGGGTAACCTCTGATTGTGGAAAGCCAAACACTTGAGATCATTGTGATAAAAAAAATATGTTTTTCTTTCTTTCCCTTTTTCCCCACCAGTTTAAAATAATGTCATATGCTTTTTGGGAAACAAAATATATGTTTTACGGATCATTGTCTTGTCCAATAAAATGTAAACCAAAGGTCCTGAACGTCTCGCTGTATTCTCTTAAACTTCTATTGAGTCACATCGACCTCCAGGCCTTGAGTCCTTTAAGGCTCTTAAATGACCAACCAACATGTGTCATTGATGTCCAGTTGTAACGGGTAACTGACACTGATTGCCCTTCGTTGCCCTGGACATGTATGTGTCTGTTACCATTCTATAGCCAGCACCCAAGTGATATAGCCTGGCCTGAGATCTGTCACCATGCATTTGTTAACCTCTGTCTTAATTATAGTGTTATAGGTCTATAGCCTGCGCATCTGACGAGATGCATTCTGAGTTCAGAGATTGTCCCATGTCAAGAGTAGTTAACTCAAGTAAAGGAAAAGAACACGCCAGAATGGAATGTGATGGACAATTATCAAATGTTAACAGCAACGATGAGTAAACGGCGATTAGAGGCCGCTAGCTCTCAGCCATTTATTGTTTGACCTTAGAGAGCGAGAAGGAGAGTGGGAGATGGTGTCCTCTGCTGGTTCACACTTGGATCAACATCACAGATAACATTTTTAAAGCTCCTTTCATCTTTAGTTCATTAATGAAACGGCTCACGACTTTCTAAATTTGGTACCTTGTCTGGCCTAAATTACTCCTGTTTTTGACGATGAGTTTAAATACTCTGCTGACACAAGTTAATCAATGCTATCATGACTGAGGAGACACATGAGCAGCGCTCCACTTAAATGTATAGTGACATACCTGTATATCGTTCAACTATTTATATTTTCAGTAATCTGATTAAATTATGTTTGTTGATAATTTCCAGCTAGTACAACATCCAGAATTCCAGCCCCAGTGCACATTTCAAAGCGGCAGGTACTTTCACACTCTTTCAAATCTCCTAAACCATGGCAAATTACAGTATGTCTGAGAGTTATGTGTAAACATATCCTCTGGAGTATTATTTTAGCCGCAAAAAATGTTAGGCATCACTAGACATGCCACTTGTGAAAATTTTTGTCATTTTTGAGCTTCTGAGCCAGGCATGTTGAAGCGCATAAACTCATCAATCACAGTCATTCCTGCAGGGGGTGGTTAGGTAAACAAAGAACCAGTAACACACTGTTCTACATGATGGCCTTAAACAGATTAGGGAGAATTAAAGGTGCAGTCTGGGATTCGTTTTTTCAGCAAAACGGCAGGCTGTCACTTGTTTTGATATACAGGTGAGGGGTGAGGCTGGGGAAATGTAACTCACTCCAATGCATCCTCAAATTCATAGAGGGCCCTCTTGCTGCAAGGACTGACAGTCCATGACATCCACATTATAATTGTAAACATACTTTAAAGCTATACATTGTTTACAAAGACACTGTTTACAATGGAGTAAAACAACCTTCCATTTTGGGACTTGATAGAAGACAGTTGTGTTAAACTCATGAGGCATTTGAAAATGGTATTCTACAAGAATCAATGGATAAACACTACCAGTCAAAAGTTTGCACACACCTACTATTTTTTACATTGTAGAATAATAGTGAAGACATCAAAACTATTAAATAACACATATGGAATCATGTAGTAATCAAAAAAGTGTTAAAAAATCAATTTTTATTTTTTCAATTGGGTGTGGAGCCAGAGACAGCAAGGGTTCAAACTGTAGAACCCAGTTCCTACATTTGAATATAAAAATTGATTTTATCAAACATATCTATGCTACATTTAATCTCTGGGACCCTCAGGATGACAAATCAGAGCAAGATTACTGAATGTAAGTACATTTTTTACATTCAGATGTGAATGTATCAAACCAGTTGCTGTGATAAGTTTTTTGTTGTGCACTCTCCTCAAACAATAGCATGGTATTTTTTCACTGTAATAGTTACTGTAAATTGGACAGTGCAGTTAGATTAACAATAATTTAAGCGTTCTGCCCATATAAGACATGTCTATGTCCTGGAAAGTTTGCTGTTACTTACAACAGTCATGCTAATCACATTAGCGCACGTTAGCTCAACCGTCCCGTATGCGGG